GCAGGGAGTCTGCTTCTCCCTCTGACCTTCCTCCTTCTCATGCTCTCTGTCTCTCATTCTCTTTCTCTCAAATAAATAAATAAAATCTTAAAAAAAAAAAAAGTGATGAAGACACCCTCTTACAAAGTCTAGAGCAGGTTTGGAAAGCAGACTACCAAAAACAGTTGGTAAGTGCTAAGACTGGGTTAAATGCAGGCAGTTATGGAAATATATAGGATGAATACCTAGGCAGATCCTATGGGAACAGAAAAGGCTTTCTGAAGGAAAGAAGACATGAAATTAACAGGAATTAACCAAACTTGGGGTGGGAGGTGGGAAGCAGTGGGAACAGAGGATGAGAAGAAAGGCAAAATAACATTCAAGATCTGAGTGTGTACAAAGGCTAGAAACAACAGAGCACATTACCGGTAGGAGGATTGGTGGATATGGCTGAGGCATAACATTATGGGGTGAATGGCAAGAGCTAGTGATAAAGAAATAAACATGAACCAAGCCATGAAAAGATTTGTAAGCCATGTTAAGGAGTATAGACTTTACCTAAGGACGTCTCCTGGCCTTACTAAAAAGTTCCTATCAAAGAAAAGAAACAAAGTTTATAGTGAGATATCATCAGATTACCTAGAACAGGAGTTACAAACTCAATTATCTACAGAGACTAGATAATTAATAAAAATGAGTGAGGAGGGCCAGGTAAAACAAACACCCAGGAGACAACAGTGAGTGATGAGAACTGTGGAGAGCCAAAGTCCCCTCTAAATGGGTCAAACTGTTGCAATGAACAACGAGGCTCAGGGTTGCTAGACCTTCCAATTAAAAAAAAAGCTGGAAATTTAAAATTTCAAGAAAAATCTCCTAAATTTTTAATAGTGGCAATTCAATTTCTTTGAAACATGATGTAGACCAACACTGAGGGGACCAAATAAAACAAAGAGTCAAACTGGTACCACCGGTCATCAGTTTCTAGTCTCTACTGCAGAAACTCAAAAACTAAGCTGAGGTCTCTGACTTGGACCTGAAGGCAGTAGAGAGCTCCTGGACATTTAAAGAGGAATAACAAGTAACCACTGCTTAAGAAGGCACAGTGTCCATCTTGGTCACTGCTGAGAAAGTACCTGGCACTTCACTGATCTCAGTAAATACTCAGAGATGAAGCTAAACTGGCATCTTTTGAACATCAGTGTCATGGCAGTAGATAGGACAAACTATCCAATCATAGAAAAGAAAAGAAGAAAACAAATCCAGTGTTCTTTGCTCTAATCCTAGAATCCTTTTCAGTCAGTCTTTAGTTTTGTTCAAAGTCAGCAGCTACCACATGCTGCCTAGTGTTCACTGGCTATAACAGCCTCTAACTCAGAAATTTGACCAACATACCAGTGACCACAACTAGCAACTACCAGCTTTCACCTAGGTAGCGGCAATGAAATTAAATAGGATGAATGGTCATAGTGGATGGGAAAATGAGAATATTCTATGCTTCACTTCAATACCAGACCAGGCCCTCCAATGCTAATTCCACACCATACCCTATCACACTGTTGCTAAAACTCGACCTTAACAAACGCTGTGTTCACTGTGCTTGGCAATACCTACCAACAATAATGGGTATTCCTGGATAGTAAGGGTGGGAAGGAAACAGAATGGAATCGAGATTCTGCTAGCAGGGAGATAGAGTAACAAAGAGGTAGGCTGAGAAAGACTGGAAATTCAAAAGAGGTGTGAAAGTTAAATAATAACTAAGACCAGAAAGCAGGTAGCCCAAGAAACCTCAGAATCTGAGCATTTATATATTCTGAGTTCAAGTAATCTTATTACAAGAGCACTGTTTGAAATAAAATATAGAAGACTCTTCTGCTGGCACTGGGACACAGAGATAACCAGTATTAGAGGTCATAAATTCATTTACTGAGAATAATCTTCACAGATGTCACTCATCTAGGAAAGGTGAAACCAAGAGGATATCAAAATGTCAAGTCATGGGGCACCTGGGTGGCTCGGTTAAGCGTCTGCCTTTGGCTCAGGTCATGATCCCAGGGTCCTGGGATCGAGCCCCGCATCGGGGTCCCTGCTTGACAGGGGGCCTGTTTCTCCCTCTCCCTCTGCCGCTCCCACTGCTTGCGCTCTCCTGCTCTGACAAATAAATAAATAAAATCTTTACCAAAAAAAAAAAGTCAAGTCATATGTGTTGTACCTTAGATATGCCTCTATTTTGCAATATGTTCATTCTCATAGTATCTACTAAGGAAGAAGTAGAGAAAAATGAATTGATTTGGAAATCTTTAAGCAATTAGCATCTTAGAGAATGGACACCCAATCCCCATAAAGTATGATGTTGGACTTCCCTCTTATAAAAAAAAAAAGTCATCATATAAGGAATACTTCTGGTTCAGACAATGACTTTAAACCAAGAAAAAAGAGAGGTTTGTTACCGTGCTGGGATGGAGGAGATGACAATGGCAATAATGTATAATCCTACCTAGAGCAGCCTATGTAGAAGGTCTGAGCCTCATATTCTGATAAAAAGTAGGAGCTTTTTATAGGAAGCTTATAGGAAGGATGGGGTGCCTAGATAGCTTAGTCGGTTGGTTAAGCGTCCAAGTCTTGGTTTCGGCTCAGGTTATGATCTCAGAGTCGTGGGATCGAGCCCCACGTCAGGCTCCATGCTCAGCACAGAGTCTGCTTGAGATTCTTTCTCCCTTCTTCTGTCCCCTGCTCGCTCTTGCTCCCTCCCTCCCTCAAATAAATAAATAAAATCTTTTAAAAATAATATATAAAGAAATTAAGTAGACCTAGGTATCAGGGAATACTACAGTAAGACCTAAATGTTCTGTCAAATGTAGGAATGGATAGTCGGTTTCAGGTTACCAATGATCAACAGTAAAGCTGCGTACCCACACACAGGTGAAGTAATAAAAGAAAAAAAGAAATTCAAAGCACCTTTAATGAGAAGTAATAGGAGAATTATACAAAACCAAATGTTTTTTCAGATGCTCTAAGTCTGTTCTATGTAATACAGAAGACACGAGTGGGTACTAAGCACTTGAAATGTGCTACCCCAAACTGAGATGTGCTATAAATATAAAATATAGACCAGAGTCCAAAGACTCAGTATGGAGAAGATTGTTAAATATCTCAATAATGATTTGAAAGGATAATTTTTTAGATATATTGGGTTAAATAAAATACAGTATTAAAATTAATTTCACCTGTTACATTTTACTTTTTTAATTTGGCCATGAGAAATTTTTAAATTACATATATGGCTCCCTTTTGTGGCTTGCATTATATTTCTGTTGGAGTGCTATAAAAATTAGTCATGCTTAATGTGAAGCCTTCAATTAATGTAACTATTTTAACATTTTCATTGAATTTAATATTGTCTCCTCCTTTAGTATTAAATTCCTCTTGGGTACATCCTGAGTAAGATGATTTTAACATGAAGAACAATGACAGCTTACCAGACTGTCCAGAAAAGAGACTGAATCAAATTTCTGGGCAGAGGCTTGAGCCAGCAGGCTTGTTCCACCAAATGGTAACCAGGCTCTCTTCGTGTTATCTCTGGCAAAAGGGTTATATAGTAAGAAAGCAGCACTATGTACACATGGAACAGGATTTGACCAATAGTTTAACTAAATCCATCCAGCATAATAACACGACTTGTTTTAGGATTTTGTCAATTATAATCCAAGTGTTAAATTTACAAAGTAAAATAAACATCTTTCACTATGATTTATTCAAATTTACCCATTTTCAACCAATTTTTAAGGTATTCACATTTGCCCTTTTGGGAAAGATTCTCTCCTAACACTGACTCTAATTTGCTACCAAGGAAAACACACCTCTCTCGTTAGGGTGAAAGGAAACAATACTAACTATTTTTTATGAGATATCATGACAGATTTTAAAAGACACTAGGATTCTCATACCATAAACACTAATACTATCTGGAAACTTGAAGAGAATGTGGTTTTAGGAAATTAAGAATTTCATAAATAAGAAACAGAACATAAACACTTATACAAGACAGCACTGACTCAAAGACAGAGAATATAGGAAAACAATTGTACTATCCCAATATTAGAAGACTACTAGTTTTAAAAAAATGTACTGGACTCAGCACAATGAAAATAAAATTGGACTTCAGAGATCCAAAATTTCCTACAGATTAAAATATTTCTCAAGTCAAAGTTCTTTGGCACAAAACAATTTAAGGCTTCATACACTATTCTTAGTCAAACTACCACAGACTTTGATAATCAATGGAAGAAACAACCAATGGAAGATATCCCAGATGGCTAAGGAGAAATTTGGGTTCAAGTGCTAGTTAATTTGAGAGGGAAGTATGCCAGTTATTCACCAGTTATTCAATTAAGCACAAGGATTATACTAAGTTTTGGAGATACAATGGTGAACATGCTACAATCTCTGACCATTAGTTTACTCTCTGGTAGTTTTCTAAAAGAACAGGAAGTAGGACTGCCACTGACATTTCACTGCCTGTTTCCCATACCCCAAATGAGGATGTTTCCCCCTTCTCCTATTTGTATTCGGAGGAAAGGGCGGTGGTGGGGGGATGGAGAAACAAAGAAGAAAACAGATCTATATATAACATATTGAATTACAGTTATTTATCTCTTTCCCTATAAAACTCTAAACTCCTTAAAGAAAGAGGATGAAACCTATTCACCACCTCCCTATTCCTAGCACCTAACCCAGTGACTGGTGTTCATTTGCTACCTTAGAACTAAACTAAATCACAGTCACTGTGCTAGGGCCACTGCTTTCATTTCTACCATAAACCAATATCAAGGGGCGCCTGGGTGGCTCAGTCGTTAAGCGTCTGCCTTCGGCTCGGGTCATGGTCCTAGGGTCCTGGGATTGAGCCCCACATCGGGCTCCCTGCTCAGCTGGAAGCCTGCTTCTCTCTCTCCCACTCCCCCTGCTGTGTTCCCTCTCTCGCTGTGTCTCTGTCAAATAAATAAATAATCTTTAAAAAATAAAAAAAATTAAAAAATAAACCAGTATCAAGAATAAATGCAGATTAAAAAAATTAGATCAATCCTTCTAGTTTTTCTTTTTGTAAAAATAAGCTTATATATATATTAACTGTAGGTGTTTAAAAGCTACAAATATACATGTTCTTTAAGGAAAAACATGTAGTTCCATAAAGCTTCCTTTCACCATTATCACTAGATCTCCCCTTACCAACCCCATCCAGACAGAGGTAACCACCATCATGAATTTGGTATAAATGATAACACACTGTACACATCATTCTGCCTTGACTTTATCTTACATTTCTGAGCTCTCTCCCTATTTAGACACATTGAAATGCAGCATGGCATAATGGACTCTGGAGCCAGGCAATTGAGATTCAAATCCTAACTTTCAATCTCCACTCTGCCATTTACCACCTTTGAAAGTAGGTAAGTTTTTTGCCTCTGTATGCTTCAGGATTTCCATATATAAAATGGAGATAATAATTGTACCTATTTCTGAGTTCTTATGAGGACTAAAATAATTGTTTATATATACTTAAAGCAATTCCTGGGCATAAACAATATAATTTTTTCTTACAGATAAAAATAGTCACCAGTGATAAAAATCTAAACACAGACTTTGTAATTCTCTGTTATATAACTATTTTCTATCTTATTCATCCATGCCTATTGACGGACATTTAGATTTTTCCAAACGAATATCCCTGTACAAATCTCCCTGGGCAAATGTGCAAATTTCTCTAGACTAATAATACCTTGAATGGTAACTTCTGGATACAAGGATATGCACCTTTCAACTGTGTAACACTTACCTGATCCTGAGCTAATGGGTGAAAAAATTGATGGCTCGTAAGTTTTTAATTGCATTTCCCTGAAAATGAGACTAAGCATTTTTCAGTTCATTAGCCATTCCAATTTCCTTTGCTCTGTTATGAATTGCCTTAATATCCATTGTTCAGTTTATTTGCATTTGTATCATCTGTCTTATTATTTTCCTCTTTATATATTCTGGACACAAATCCACTAGATATTACAGACATTACACCTATCTCTCAGTCATGCCACTCACATTTTAGTTTGGTTTATGATGTATTTGATTAAACCTAAGTTTTTCTTTCTGAGGTAGTCAAATCCTTTATCCCTGATGTCTTTATCTTCGATGGTCCATTCTTCTTTTCTTGACTTGTTAAAGAACGCTTCACACATCCTAAAGACACACATTCTTCTATACTTTCCTCTTTATTAAAGAGTTGTTCATGCTTAGTGTAAAGTTCAAACGCAACTGATATCTGCATAAAGTTTGAAGTAGAGACCTAGTTTTCCCCCATAGAAAACCAATTCAACAGTCCACTCTTTCTTTCCCTGCTGATAGAAAATGTCATCTCTAACTCTTATCAACTTCTCAAATATGTATGGATCCATTTCTGAACTCTCTTCTATTATATTAAGCTGTCTTTTCCTGTATTAAGACTATACTACTTTAACTACCATAAATTTATATTTTACTTTTTTTATTGAGGTGTAATTTACATAAAGTATACACTTTGATTTTTAAATAATGTATACCCAACCCAGATAAAGATATTAACATTCTGATCTCTAACACCATAGATTAGTTCTACCTGTTTTTGAACTTCCTGTAAATGAAATCATACGATATGTAATATTTTGTTTCTCATTTCTTTTGCTGAACATAAGCATGGGAGAATCAAGCCATGTTGTGTGTAGCAGTTTATTCTTTTTCACTGCTACGTAGTATTCCATTCTAAATAACATGTTTAAAATTAGTCTTGCTGGGCGCCTGGGTGGCTCAGTTGGTTAAGCGACTGCCTTCGGCTCAGGTCATGATCCTGGAGTCCCTGGATCGAGTCCCGCATAGGGCTTCCTGCTCGGCAGGGAGTCTGCTTCTCCCTCTG